TACTCGGCTCTCTCCGAGAGACATTGTTGAGGAACCTGAATAACTGGACCTGCGCCCCCCACCCCCGGCCCCACGTTGAGGCCAAATCTGATTTGCCCACCGGCGCCAGTGGGTCAGGGACTGAGGTGCTCATTAGACCCGGAAACAGGCACTAAAGTCCAGACTGCTGTACCTATCTCCTCACTTCAAGATGAAGGGAAGTGTTGCGGGGACCCAGCGCATCCCAGCAGGGCTGTGCAGTCTCCATAGTAACAGCAAGGGAGGCCGGGAAAGCAGCTCTTTTCCGCCCTACAACCCGCCCTCGGGCTAGACTGGCCAATGAACTAGCGGGTTACCTAGGGGATGGTGTGATTGACAATGGGTGGGGCGTGCGCCGAGCCCGGGCTGCCTCTATCCAATCGAGCTCGAGGCGGGGGTTCCAAGACTGAGGGCTACAACCAATAGGAGGGCGTCACAGGGTGCGACGTGCCCACCCACCACGCTGCCGGAGCAGCGGCGGGCGTAGGCAAATAAGGGGAAGCTGGACGTTGAAAGACCGGCGCTGATTGGCGAATGTGGGGCCGCCTGGATGAAAGCCCACTTGTGATTCGTTCTGTGTAGACCAAAGCCCTCGGGGCTGAAACCAGCCTGACTGCGAGGTGTGAGTACGCATCGCTTTGGGGGTCCCCGGGAGGGCGCAGGTGAGGAGGGTGCGGAGGGGAGGATGGCAGAGGAGAGAATGGCTGAGGCCGGAGCCAGGGAGCTGGGCCGGAGGAGGCCGGGAGAGGCGGGGCGCTGACCCCTCAAAACCCGCAATCTAGGTAGATGCCCTGATCGGGAATCGAACCCGTGACCGTTTGACACACGGATGACGCTGCAACCAACTGAGCCACACCGGCCAGGGCTAGACAGGTTATTTTATTCCAGCTCCAATCTACCTGTTTTAAATGCACAGCCCTTAAGTAAATGGACTTGCTCTGGAAGCCAGGTAGTCTAGACCATCCGTTCTCAAAGAAGGTTTGAAAAAGCCCTGGACATTAAATAAAAACACTGTCGTTGTTGTTGCTTTTAATCAAAGTTTACTTAATAATTTAGCTATTCCAGTATGGTTGGAAATAATGTAAGTATTACTCACATTAAAATCACACTGAATTACCAAGATGAAATGACTAGATGTTCACTGCTTCCCCACAAGAGCATTCGATGCTGTAGCCAGCCCTTCCTCTTCTAAACTCTTAGTGAGAAAACGCCCAGTTTGGTTATAAAATGTTGAACTTCGTTCTTGTAACCGCTTGGGGATATTTGTCTCATTACTCTATTGCCAGACCATATACCAAACCCAATGTTTCATGAACTTTTACGCTTTCGTGAAGGACTGATGGGCAGTATTTCTAATGACCAGCTTCAGCTGCCCAGAGGTGGAATTGCTGGGTCATAAGGCAGTTCCATTTTTAATTTTTTGAGAAACCTCCATACTGTTATCCATAGTGAATACATTAATCTGCATTCCCACCAACAGTGCACGAGGGTTCCCTTTTTACCACATCCTCACGAACACCGTTGTTTGTTAATTTATTGATAATAGCCATTCTGACAGGTGTGAGCTGATATCTCATTGTGACGATTAGTGACATTGAGCATCTTTCCATATGTCTGTTGGCCGTGTATATGTCTTCTTTGGAGAAGTGTCTATTCAGGTCCTTTGCCCATTTTTTAATTGTTTGGTTTTTTGGTGTTGAGTTTTATAAGTTCTTTATAAATTTGGGGTATTAACCCTTTATCAGATGTATCACTGGCAAATATGTTCTCCTGTACAGTGAGTTGTCTTTTCATTTTGTTGATGGTTTCTTTTGCTGTACAAAAAACCTGCCTCATTGCTAAGGCCTTCTTCCTAGACTCCTTTCCATCTCCACAGCTAAGAAAGATTTCTGACCTTCAGCGTCTCTTACCTACAGAACTGCAATAGTATCCCAATTGGTCACCAGTCTCTGTTCTCTGATCTCAATTCATAGGCACCCTGTGCCACCAGTTACCTTTTTAAAACTTAAGAATTATCTGAAAATTATCAAAAATAGTAAGTATCACACTGGGTAGTATAATAAATACCTATGCTCTACAAACTAGATTAACTAACATTTTGGCACATCTGCTTAAGTTTTGGGTTTTTTTAATTTTTATTTTAAAGAAAGAAAACATCATAGATTTTGTTCAGATCCCCTTTGATCTCTTTCCTGGCCCCATTCCCCGTCCCTCCTCCCTCCTCAGAGGCAGACACTCTTCTGAAACTGTTATGCATTATTCAAGCCTATGTTTTTATACTTTTACTGTATATGTATCATAAACTATATATTGCTATTAGGTGCTTTTTTAATTTTAAAAATACAAGTATTATCCTATGGGCTTCATTTTGCAACTTGCTTTTGCCACTCAACATTATTTCTGAGATATATTTATATCAATACAGATAGATGAAGTTTACTCATTTCGTGTTCATTGGGACTACATAACATTGCATCCATTCTCTTATTGGTGGACATTCAGGTTTTTCCAGATGTTTTGCTATTATAAACTAACACCCTTGTACATGTCTCTCTGTGCTAGAGTTTCCCCATAACATTGGTTCTCCAAGCAGGTGGTGCAGCCCTTTGCCCATTCTGGGATTCATGGGGGCCTATTTGAGTATCACTATGATTTTGGAGGCACAACTGGGGTTCACAGAGCAGGGCTGGGATGGTCGATGTTCTGTGATGCATGGGACAGCCCCTTGCTGTGAAGAACTGCCCTGCATCCTTTACAGCTTTTGAGTGTCCCACAGGATACTCATTTCTAATCTGAGCCTAAGTCTAACTTTATTTTTTTGTACAAACATAATGTATTTTTTGGCAGAGTTGGATATAGTTAAAATTTCCAGGAATGCAACTCTGATTTAAATGAAGGGGAAATTATACTTATTTGTGATTTGGAACTTGAACAAGAGTTGTTCATCACTCTAGAAAAATCACATAACCGAAGGCAGCCCAGCTCGTGGTATTTGAGCTGCCATCCAACGCACCTGCATCAGCCTGCATTTTGTACTTCTGCGTTCATGGCGAGTCTAAGTTTAGGTGCAAGCATCTGACTGCCGTGCTTCATTACGTATTCTACTGTAGTCAGCCCAACGCTTGTATATTTAAGCATATGCTGTTTTATAATGAATCCCTTTCCATTTAAAATTAGTTCCTGTGTGTAATATAAAGTAGAGATCTAATTTTATTATTTTCTGATTGGATAGTCATTGGTCCCAACACCATCTATGAAATCCACTGAATCATAAACCCAACTCTGTCTGGTCCAGAGCCCTCATCAATGCATGGATCTGTCTCCGGGTTCCCAGTTTTATTCTGCTGGTCCATGTGTCTTTATGCCGCTATCACACTGTTTTAATTACCTTGGTTTTATAATGTGTCTGTGGCAGTTGGTAACAAGAAAGGCAAGTTTCCATCCTAGTTCTTAAAATTGTTTTTGCTGTTCTTGTGCTTTTGCTCTTCCATATGAATTTAGGATCAGTTTTCAAGTTCCACACAAAAAATATTATTTTGAGATTTGGGGTTAGAATGCCATTGAGTGGATAGATTAAGGAAAATTAAGATCTATTAAAGTTGAACTGTCTCATATAGGAACATGAGTCATTTCTCTATTCAGGTCTGTTTTACTTTTCTATTCAGATCTTTTAAAAACTCTTTGAATAAAATTTATCATTTTTACTATAAAAATCTTAACACATCTTTTGTTGGATTTATTCCTACTTAGACATATATACATATTCATACACATCTTTTTATTATGAACGTTTCAAATATATTCAAAAGTATAGAAGATAGAGTAGCAAACACTCATCGCCCAGTTTCAACAATTAACTCATGAGCAGTCTTTTTTTATGTCGGCCCCCGTCACCTCATCTCCCCAGGTAATTACGAAGTCCCTAGACATTGTCGTGTGTGGTCTGTGTTATGTGCGTGTGTATTATGCATCTCACAGATTATTTTTTAGCAATATAATCACATTAAAAAACATTTTTCACTTAAAAAATAAACAACAGTTCCCTAATATCATCAAATATCCAGCTACTGTACAGTTCAGATTCCCCAGGTGTCTTTTTTACAGTTGGTTGGTTTGAAACCAAAGTCCATATATTACATTTGGCTGATAGGTCTCTTCAGACTCTTTCTCTAAAGGGAACTTTTTAATATAAACTTTTTAGTGAAATGTAACACACATACAGAAAAGTATACAAGTCAGAAGTACATAGTTAGATAAAATTTAACAACATTAGCAAAGCCATCTAACAACACCCAGATCAAGAAACAGAATTTCTTCAGCACCCCAGAATCCTCTTCATGCTCCCTCCACTCACTACTTTCTGCAAGGTAGCCATACCCCTGACTTCTAACCCCAAAATTAGTTTGACCTGTTTCTGAACATTATACACATGGAATTGCACAGTACAAACTCTTTTGCCTCTGGCCTTTTTCAGTCAATTTGTGAGAAGCTCATCCATCTTGCTGGGTGTAGTCGTAGTTGGTTCATTCTCACTGCTTTCTGCTTTCATTGTGTGAATGAATAGATTGTGTGTATAGCACCACATTTTATCCATTCAACTGATGAATATCTGGGTGGTTTCTGTTTTTAGTTATTTCAAATAGGGCTGCGCTGAACTTTCCTACATGTCTTGGCGAGCCTCTGTGTGCATTTCTGTTGGGAGTACACCCAGGAACCGAGGAGCTGGGCCTGGGACTCGCGTGTAGTCAGCTTTATCCGATAGGGCCACGTAGTCTCCAGAGCGGCTGGAACGATTCCCACTCAGCTGCAGCGTGTGGGTTCCTCACACCTTTGACAACACTTGCTGTTGTCTGTCATTTTCATTTTAGCCATTCTGGCGGTTTCCATTTGTAATTTCCCAATCACTAATAAAGTGGAGCACCTTTTCGCGTATTTACTGGCCATGTGCATATCCTTTGTCAGTTTTTATTCAGTTACCTCTTCTCTAACATGGATATAATAATACCTACCGCAGGAGCTGATTGCTGTGGTTAAGTGAGATAGATTTGTAAGGTACTTAGCACACAGGGAATGTTCACAAAGAACGGTGGCTCCCCTCCGCCACCTCTTTTCTTCAAGGACTTAGGTGTCTCCTTCCTTTTGTGAGTAAACTCAGCAGTAGAGTGGGGCATTTGACTTGTGGTTGCCAAAGCTCATACCATGGACTTAACCGGAAAGCTCCCACTTCCACATCGGCCCTGGTGCCCTTAGGCCCAGTGCCTTTTTCAGCCCCCCATTAGGGTTTTGAGAGTTCAGCTTTCTACTGCGGGCTGGGCGAAGACAGACTAGAAACCAAATTTGGAATGACCTGTGCAGAGCAGAAAGCAGCGTCTCAGTCCTCACCAGAAAGGAAGGCTTGGTTCTCAATGTCTGATTCCTGTTAGGCCTCTGAGACTGGACGTTACCCCAAACCTGACGCACCGGTCATCAGAAATCCCCCATAACCGCTTTGGACTTTCTGTATTTGGCTGAATGCTGTCTTGCACCCCAGGAGCATGCCGGTGGGCAACACCCGGAGCTGAGAGGACACCTCGCCTGCCCTGGGCCCAGGGCTGAGCGGAGTGCAGGGCTCACGCGTCCTGTCCCCACAGATGGCAGGCACTGTGCTCGGGGTGGGCACCGGCGTGTTCGTCTTAGCTCTGCTCTGGGTGCTGGCGCTGCTGCTGTGTGCACTGCTGTCCCGAGCCTCCGGTGCAGCCAGGTAAGGCATTCTCTCCCCCCGGGGAATCCCAGGTAATACAATTTGAAGCAAAATTGCTGATTCTCATTACACATTTAGAATTCAGAAGGTCCTTCTTGTAATTACTGGCAGCACATTTTAACCTCTTATCATAGCTCTAAGTGTGTTACTGGCTCTGTAGCAGAGGTAAGAGAAGGAAGGTGGTATTTGCAGTCCTTGCTGCGGAGGAGATGGGGGGACATGAGATGAAAGGAAAACCTGCTTTTACTGCCTGTTGGATTTCTTGGGGGCGTACCTGTGTGAGTTTCTTCATTGTTCAGACTGTGGCAGATGCTCATTCCAGTCCCCAAGGCTCTAGAGCTGGGCCCAGGGACCCTGCAGACACACTGGCTCCCCATCAGGCACGAGCTCCAGGAGAGAGTCAGTCCATACACTGACACAGCGACATTGTGGCGTTGTATCCTTGGCCGGACAGTGTCCCCATAAAGCAGCGAGTTACCTAATTTATTAAAGTAAAACAAACGTAGAAGTTGGGGGAGGGAGGGGCTGCTTTGGTTTTCCATGATTATGGCTGAACAGAGGCAAAAATGAAAACTCCCAGTTCCCATTCTTAGGAGTCTGGAATGACTGGGAGCAAACAGGAATGCGTCCAGTTGGTACCTGCCTAGGGAGAAGGGCTTTGGGATGAAGGGGAAACATTTCTAAATTTATGGGCAGTGTGGACAGCAGGTCCCTGGGCTTTGCCAATGGGCTGAAACAGAGCACTGGCCCCAGGGAGAGCCCATCAGCCCGATTGGCAGAGAGGAAGCCGCAAAGGGTGCTGTAACACTGTGTCCTTTGACCCCAGGTACTCGGTCATCTTTGTGTTCCTCGGTGCCCTGCTCATCACAGCAGTTCTGCTGCTCCTCCCCCGAGCCAGTGAAATCCCAGCCCCAGAGGCCGAAATGAAGGTAAAACTGTTGGTTTTATTTTACCTCCCGAGTTGTAGCCCTCATTCCTCTTGGCCTGGGCCTCACTCCTCCCCTGCGTGTCCCCTGCTGTCAGTGGGCTGAGCTGCGTTAGAAGATCTGCAGTTAAATTGACGATGAGGAAAGCTCGAGCGAGGTGTAGATTCCCCACCTCTTCACTCAGAATCAGAATCGTAAGCTGTGTCCCCATCGGGATGAATGAGCAGCGTGTCTAACACCCACCTCGCTCGCCCTGTGGAGCAGAGAGAGGGAGATGAGTTAAGAACAGGAATAGACCTGCTCCCCACATCAGAGCGGTCCCTCCCTGGTGGCCTGGGCTCAGGAACTCAGGGCCTGGGCCTAAACTTCTGCCTCTCTCTCTCCTTGTGTTGAATTTTCCATTTCTAATGTGAAGATTACTTTACATAGAGAAGAGCAGTGGGGAAAGGAGACAGGTATTTTTTGGAAGCGCCAAGTTCCAATAGATGAGTTCAGCACTCAGGCTCCTGGGAGTTCCTTTGGTAGCCATTCCTGGGACCACACCCCCACACCCACCTCCCAGAATGGGTTTCTGTCATCTCATAGTCCTACCTAGGATGCCCTCCTCACTCTGGTTCAGTCCTGACTGGGGCTCTGGCTTCTGCAAGCACAGCTGGTCTCAGCCCAGCGATCGTGATACTGGTATCAACTCCGTGTGTCCCATTATGTCTTCTCTCCGCTCCTTTCCTCCCGGCCTCCGCTGTAACTTCTCAAGTAGGAATGGTGATAATAGCTAACAGGGTTTAAGGGATTACTGTGTGCAGGGTCCTGAGGTCAGCACATCGTTTGCATGACCTCATTTAAACCTCTAGAGGACCGTACGTGGCCTGAAGTAAGTGCCCTTGTCCCCGCTTTATAGGTAAGGACACTGAGGCCGTAAGGCAAGCATAACTTATCCAGGGCCAGAAAGAGTCTGGATGGGCCAGAAAGACCTGTCCTCTCCCTCACTTGGATGTTGGCATATATAGAAAGAGTCAGAGCAGGGACCAAAGCTGAGCCCTGTCTTCAAAACGTTCATTGTTGGGGTCTCAACAGACTATTAGGGGCCATCACCGAGAGCTCATAAGGGACTGCTTGACACTAGACAACAGCACACGGAATTACATAATTCTGAACCTAATCGGCACATGTTTCCAACACTATCTAGCACTAGCCATGGCAAAAGGGAGGAAAATCGTTCTGAAACCTCCAAGGGAAATAATACACACAATTTAAGGAGTTGTCTCCGTCCATGCGAGGTTCTTTGGGCAGCGATTGAAAACCCCTCTGCTGGTGTGCGTTCCGTGTGTGAGCTGGGGGTAGGCTCCCACCTCGGCTTCCCTGTCTTAAAAGGAGACAACAACGAAGGCCACTTGTTTCTGGACCGCTGCAGATGCAAATGTCGGGGGAAGAACACAGAGCAAACACTGTCCTAAAGTCAGGCCCTCTGTCCTCTGTCATATGAGGCCCAGACCCGGGAGGGAAGAGTGGGTTTGAGCAGAAGGTGTCCATCAGCGTGGCCAGCCGACGAGTTCCCGTGGTCAGCTCTGAGAGCCGGCCCCTGCAGCAGCCTGGCTCAATACCCATCAATAATACATGGCCTGGGCCGCCTCCACCCAAGGCCTGCTAATTGGCTAATTAAAAAGTGAAACGTGTCGAACGAGCAAACATGTAGCCCACGGGAGACGTGTTCAGTGCTGGAGCCAAGGTCAAAGTTATGTTAAAGCTGTTTGATCAGATTGCCCTCTGTTCCGAGCTGGCTGTGGGGGGGTCTCTGGAGCAGCCCTTCCTTCGTGGTGTCTTTGGGTCTCGGCGATCGTAGCAGGGTTTGGACCTGACAGGTGCTTGGTGTGTGGCCCCTGTGTTATCCCTTTCCCGCTGCTGCTGTAACAAATGACCACAAACTCAGTGGCTTTCAACACAAATGTCTTCTCTTAAGAGTGAGCTAGAAGTCCAAAATCAGTCTCACTGGGCTACCGTCAAGGGGTCGGAAGGGCTGAATCCCTCTCTAGAGCTTCTAGGGAAGAAAGAATCTGTTTCTTTGCCCTTTCCCTTGGCTGGGGGCGCCCTTGCCCCACCTCCAGAGCCAGGAAGGTAACTGACTCTGCTTCCCTCTCCTACTTGTGAGGACCCTGTGATTACACTGGGCCCGCCTGGGTTAGATCATCCAGGCCAATCTCTCTGTTTTAAGATCAGCGGATTAGCAAGCTTCGTTCCAGTTCCAGCCTTCATTCTGCTTTGCCGTGGAGTCCAACATATTCCCAGTTTCTGAAAATGAAGATGCGAACATTCTTGTACCATCTTTCTTTCCACCCCAGGCACCTTTCAAGTATTTGGGACTCTCTCCTAGGTGCTGGGTTTTCAAAGCTCCTAGACTGTGGTGTCACCCAGGGTCCTGGTTTGTGTAGCTGCTTCACTGGGTCTGTAGATTAAATTTCTTTTTCTTGCCCAAACTTAAGCGCCGCCATTTGGACCTGGAGACAAGTAGAGCTCTGGCAGTGGACAGTAGACCAGTGGGTAGAGCCAACACTAATTATGGGTTTTTGTCGGCAAAGACTAACGACTTGGGGCCTCAGGTATAACTGGTTGCCAGGCAGCCAACTGTATGATTTGGGGCCCGTGATCTACTTATTCTCTCAGTGTTTTAGTATCTCAGGTAAATGGCCACTTTCCCTAACCCTTGGGATGCTGGGTATGAATGTTAGGGTTCAGAGCTCTTCAGATAAAAGTTTGAAAGGGCCACCTTTTCGTTTTGAAAAATGAACCCTCCAGAATTGGCAATGGGTTATTTTGGGGTGGGATTTTGTGTCCAAGGGATTTATTATGCTATTGTATTGTTATGTATGTTTAAAATTCTCCTTGATAAAAAGTTAACAACAGAAAGTTAACAACAAGCAAACTTCTCATGAGTGCTTTCAAATAACATAACATATGATTCCAGAACATAAAAGAGCCCATCCAGAGTGATCACAGTGCTTATGAGCCTCCCATTTTCTCCCTGTACATCAGTACTTCTTTCTTTATCTTGTATTTCCAGATCAGGGAGTTCAGAGAATGTTCTTTCTTAACCATTTACAAAGGAGACCCAGGGCAGGATGTTACTGGAAGTTACAAATATGAGCAGGCTCTGGGCCCATCATCAAAGAATCCAGACGAGCACAGCCGGGTGCGAAGTGATAGTAATTTCATGGTTGACGTTTCCTTCCCAGATCGTGGATGCCTTTTTCATCGGTCGCTATGTCCTGCTGGCTTTCCTCAGTGCTGTCTTCCTCGGAGGTCTCTTCTTGGTTCTAACTCATCACATCCTGGAGCCAATCTATGCCAAACCACTGAGGTCCTACTGAGCGCTACTCGAGGAAAGGAAACCGAGGCCCGTCCTCTCCCTCGCTTGGATGCTGAGCCAGCCCAGTGACTTCTAACAGCACAGGCTGCCACTTGTCACCTTCTCCTGAGAGACTTGCTGAAAAAGCAGATCTGGGGCAACTCTTATAGGCTTCCAACCATGAGTCCATCTTTTTTGTTCCCCAACAAAGGGGCCCAACTGTTAGATCGATGGATAATGGCTACGGAGTTTGGGGTGACTACTTAGGTGGAGAAAACTGCATTAAGGTTGGAAATGAAATTCCTTCCCAAACACCACTGCTGTCCGATGGTGGTGGTGGTTTTCACAGATGTTAATAACAGGCTTGTGTGTTAAGGGCAAAAGTCATACTTTTTAGCTCAGCCTGCCTTCTACAGATCTTGTCCGTAACGCGCAGCCATAGTGAAATGAATGATAGATTGCTTCCCGCCTTCCTGCTCAAAGCAGTCATATTCAGCCCCCCCAAAACCACACAGGGTTGGGATAAGATACAAAAGGCTGAGAGGGCACCAGATGAGTTTCACTGAGAGTCCTACATGGGGCATCCCTGTGGCCAGTGTCTGATGTGGCACCTCTTGTGCACATGGCCTTCCTGGAGGGCGTCCCTTAGATAGAAGCAGAAATCATCTTAGTGTCCCCCGCTTGTCATTTTTTCACCAGTGACCGTAGAACAGGTGGTGCTCTACTGTTCCCTTCACAGACAGATCTGGTAGCAAAGAGACTGGGGTGATCCCTACTGTTCGGAAGGTGGAGAGGGAGAGTCGATCAGGGCTTCTGTATAAGGAAACGGGCTACATTTCATAGCCTTTTAAAATTGTATCCTGACAAAAGCTAAATTAGCAGGACACCACCCTCTCCCCACAGCACAGGCCGCTGTCCTATCCACTAGGTGGCGCTGTGTGTTATGTTTTAGAAGGCCCTCAAGCCAGCAAAACACACTCAGGTAATTTTATGACAAGTCCCTTACAATTTTATGACAAGTTTCTTATAAAGATGAAAGTAAAAACTAACATTCTCTACTGACGCGTGCTTTCGGATGGTTAATAAAAAAAATCATCAAAATTATTGTAGTGATGTTCAGTCACTAGGGTCTGCAAAGCCGTTCACTCCTGCTGCGCACACTCCTATTGCCCCGCATTCAACATTTTGCGTTGCTCTTCAGTCTACAGCATTAGTCCTGTGCAGCCCGTGTGGCTCAGCGGTGGAGCATCGACCTAGGATCCAGGAGATCCCGGTTCGATTCCCAGTCAGGGCACATGCCCGGGTTGCAGGCTTGATCCCCAGCAGGGAGCATGCAGGAGGCAGCCGATCAATAACTCTCATCATTGTTGTTTTTACCTCTCCCTCTCCCTTCCTTTCTCTGAAGTCAATAAAAATATATTTAAAAATACNTTTTACCTCTCCCTCTCCCTTCCTCTCTCTGAAGTCAATAAAAATATATTTAAAAATACAGTATTAAAATAAAGCATTAAAGCATTAGACGTGGCCAAGTGAGCCAGTTTGAGAACTAGGCTCTGAGGCATCTAGGTGGTCCTCCTAACTCCAACCCAGGACGAAGCCATCCAAATTACTTTTAAAGGTTGTTATTCTAACATAGAGAAATCCATTTCTCGTGTTCTCCAGGACAAACTTTTTTTTTTTTTATCAACTCTATCTTAGTGCTGCTGCAGTTGAAGTGTTTTTGTTTTACTCTGATTTTAATTCAATGTGTGTAGAAACCTGCTGTAATCATTGGAGAGATGAGAAACAGGCAGAGAAATACAGTTAGTAGTGAGGCTCAAACTCGATGCCGGGATCCTGATACCTCATTTCTAAGATAAAGATCACTTTTAGGTTTCAAACAATGCCTTTATTTTTACATTGGTTAATACTATTTCTTAGCAATTTGTACTCACCATTTCTCTAACCCATATCCAAAAAGTGGTAAAAGTTTCGATAAAGAATTCCTAAGCATTTAATCATAACTTCTTGGCGTAAACCTTCAAGTATCTGGCTGTTGTTACAGAGGAGCAAGTTTCCAGATGTGGGAACTGGAACCACATGGAAATGAATCTTGAAAAATGCTGATTAACCTCACAGGAGCATAAAATAAAACTCAGGATTGAGGGGGGTTTATAGTTCATGGAGTTCAATCTTGGATCTCTATTTCCATCCCAATATTTGGGAATGTTCCATTTTTCACATGCTGAAATCACAGTTTTTGTATTCAGTGAACACGTGCTGGACATCTCTCTAAGTGCTTTGTAAGTACTATGTAACCCTCATCGCGATGCTACAAGGTAGGTCCCCTTAATGTCCTCATTTCACAGATGGGGAGCAGGCACAGAGTGGGGAGGTGCTTTGCTTGAGGTTACTCAGCAAGAGGTTATAGGAGGCAGGATCTGAAGTCAGGCAGTTTGGCTCCAGTTAGGCTCTTAATGACTATATATTATGTTGCTCCATAAAAATGAAAACAAAAAAAAAGAGGAGAGACCATGGTCAGGTAATGCAAATCCAGTTGATAGAAATACCGAGGAGAAGCCACTGAGTCTAGTGGGAAATCTGGAATCTTAGAGATTGGCCAGGAATCCGGGCAAAAGCAGCTAACCCATGTGGGACCTTGGAGGCAAGTTCACTGATCACCTGAGTGTGTGGCGGGTCTTTGCTCCGTTAGACTTTGGCCTCCTTCTTGCTTAGCGGTACTGAACAGCGGGGCAGCTCCTAGATTGTGTTTTCACAAAGGACTCACCCAGCAATCTCTCTTAAGCACTGCCCCCCTGCAAAGTTTGGTAGTTGTTGGTTTTCAGAGGTACCAATGTTAGAATCAACACCATAAGCCAAGAATGTGTTTCCTGCTCTCTGTCTCTAGCAGATCATGGTGGTTGCTCTTAACTCAAGGAAAAAAAATGTTTCCAAATCCCCCCACTGCCATCCCCACCCCAATACACACCCTTGTCTCAATTTCCTGGGACCTAAGAAATGACAGCAAGGATCAAAACCAGTGCCCATGGACAGAAGAATAAAGTTAATTTTCCTGGCTTTCATCACTCTGTGGGGCATTGTAGGGATGTGCACACAGCCAGTTCCTGCCTCAGAGAACTCGGAGTGGTGACAAGTGTGGCATGTATGCAGCACCTAAATACTACCTGGACACCCCTCCACTGTTTTTTTATCTTTGGGGATTTCTTCAATTTTCCTGTCTTCACATTGATGTTGCCCCAGTTTTACACTGAGCTCACATAATAGTTTCCTATTGCTGCTATAACCGATTACAAGGGACAGTGGTTGAGAACAATACAGATTTATTACCTTACAGCTCTGGAGGTCAGAAATTTGAAATGGATTCCAAAGAGGCTAAAATAAAGGTTTTGGAGGTTCTAGGGGTGAATCCTGCCGTCTTGCCTTTTCTAGCTTCCGCTCAAGGCTGCCCACATTCCTCGGCCCATGGGCCCTTCCTTCCTGTAGCTTCAAAGCCAGCATCTTATCTGACACCTGACACTTGCTTCCCTCTTTGATTCATAAGGAGCCGTGTGATTACCTTGGGCTCACCCTGGTAATCCAGGGTGGTCTCCCCATCTCACAGTCCATCACATCTGCAGTGTCTTTTGCCACGTAAGACAATGCGTTCACTGGTCTGGGAGTTAGGATGTGGCCTCCTGGGGGAGGGAGCGTCACTCTGCCTCCCACAGAATTGAGGGCCCACCTTCCTTTTCGAAGGATTGCCTCCTTCCACCCTCTCCATGCTCTCCCAGCCCCACTCCTTAATGAACCAAGTCCGCCCCTTTATCTCCAGTGTCGCTCTCCAGTTCTCGGGGTTCCTACTCCAACACTCACGATATGCTAGGAACTTCCTTCCAACTTCGGTTGTGGTGGAAGCCTGGCGTGCTCAGATCTACCGCGAGCTGCTTTTCCTTGCTGCTTTCCTCCCCCTGCTCCCCCACCAGCCCAGCCTCCCAGTGGATCGCTAAAGGAAAAATGCGAAGAGTTATTGCTTTTTAATTACAAGTGCTATTGTAACATCTATAAGGAAGAACACTTTAAGCTTAATTGAGACCAAATGTGAAGTTAAATTAAATGAATAACTAATTAATGTAACGCTCCTGCATTAGCCCCCAGTGAATGCTGAGGCCCAGCGAGAAGGCAGGTACTGGGCCTCTGGGAACAGCCTGTGCCCAGAGCTGAGGTGGGGCTGGGGCCTGAGACCTGGGACNTGGGCCTCTGGGAACAGCCTGTGCCCAGAGCTGAGGTGGGGCTGGGACCTGGGAGACGGTGCGGAAGGTCAGGTGTCAGGTGTTTCCCCAAACTCCCTCCTACAGCCCAGGTCCTTATTTGTGAGGCCGGGCTCTGAGCTCCCACGCAGGCCTCTCCCTGCGCCACTCTTACCTGGGGCACGAGCGGGTGTGTCCCGCTCCTTTCCCTGTCCCTGCCGAGCACGTCAGGGCTTGAGAAGTATTATCTTAGCTTTCTCGCCTCCCTTCCACCCCCTCACCACCTTAGCCACCTGCCAGCCCAAGCCCTGCTGGCACTTCTGTCCCGCACATTTATTCCTCCCGCAGCCTTGGACCACCCTCCTGCCCGCCCCGTCCCTGCAGGCCCGGCTGGGAGATAGCAAAGTCTCTACCCCTAGGGTTTCCTCGTGTGTCCTTGTGTCATTTATAAACACTTTCATATCCCCCCTTTAGCCTCTCACTAGACAAGCTCTTCCAGGGCAGGCAGTGCCCACACCCATTAGCCTCCCTTCACCCCAGTCCTCCAAGGTGGGTAATGTTTTTACTGTTTTCTAGGTGAGGAAACAGGCTTGACGCTAGTGAGTGGCGAGGCTGGGGGAGAGAAACCTAAAAAATGCCAAAGGAAAAAAAATACCAAAGAGGAACAAGTCCCCTCGCTCTCACCCTGCCCCGTTGGCAGCGAAAGCAAGCTGGCAGCTGGCAGTTGGCAAGTGCAGACTCTGCTCCTCTATCCCCAGGGACAGGCGGGGGCCCAGGGGCAAGCTGGTCTCTACCACGGGGTTAGGGCACCACCTAGCGGCCCCCGAGGGATGACGTCAGACACACCTTTATGGTCTTGAAAGAAACAGTGCCTTGAACCCCGGCCCCGGGCCTGCGGGTCTTAAGGACCAGAGGCCCCCACAGGCTCCCGCTTTCAAAGCCAGAGTATCGGGCACTTGATGACTTATGTGTATGTCCCCCCCGGATGTGTACCGCCCGTTTTACATTGAGGGACTGTACCCAGCTAACGCACTGGCCCGGACAGTGTCCCAGCTCATGCAATGGTGGAATCTTACGTGGGGCTTTAAGCTCCCGGCTTGCCCCACAGGACATCTATGTCATGAGTGCCTCCTCTGGGAATGATACGTGACTGGTCCCAGCACACAACCTGGAGGTCCCGGGACGCTGCCTCAACAGCCCATGGGGGTCCTGGCACAGGTGCAGCCACCAAGAGAGATCTGTATCGGTGCTGAGAGGTGGCTTCAGAGGCCAGACAAATGCCAAGAGCGCCTGGCCTGGAGCACTCTAGGACTTGAGGGGGACAGGACAAGTCCACCAGGAACCCAGGACAGAAAAGGCCACTGCAGAGAGCTCCAGGCACCTGTGCAGGTGACGGCTCCTGAGTGAACCAGCCTTGTCATCCCCCCCGGTGCCTGTGTCTACTGTCTACTATGTTCCCAGAGGAAAGCAGGCACCCAGGGAGCACTCAATAAACACTGACGCTTCTTTATCAAAACACTGGCATTTTTACCAAAACACACACTGGTATTTTCAGTCCTGGCTCCCGCTCCTCACCCCGCACCCCACAGCACTGCCCTGACATGTGGCCTCTACTCGAGACATAGAGGCTGGGACACGGGTGAGGCAAGCAAGGCCCAAGAGCGATGTCTCCCTCGCTTCACCCTAGTCCTGGCCCCGCAGGACAGAGCAACAAGGCTTTAATCCGAATGGGGCAGGAGTTAGAAACAGGTTCAAACGGAGATAAATGGCTTGTGGACAAAGGGATGAAGAGAGGCTGGGTAGCTGTGAAGTCAGGTCAGAATCCCACCTATAGGTACAAGCTGATGACAGAGGTTCCAGTTTTACACAGGAAGAAGA